AAAAAAACAAGACAAACATGAAGGGCACAGTGAAACCATTCATTTTTCTCATTCTTCTTTTGACTCCCCTTTCACCGTTCCTCTAACGTACAAGGCTCGCCACGTTGATGAAGTTGAGCGCGAGCTGCCCCCATCCCCGTGTGCCATAACAGCCCACTTGTATGCTGTGAGAAAGAGGCAGAGTGAAGGGGGAGGGGATAAACACAGGGAGGAGAGATGGAGAGCAGACAAACAAAGCACGATAAAGGGAAAGTAAGGGAAAGTATGGAGTGTGGAGTGAAGATGAAGGCAAAAGAGGATAAGAAAAGGCTCAAGAATGAGTCTGTCCTTGACGACAGAGAGGACATACATTGTAAGGAAGAGGTGGATGAACACATGGAAGACCTAGCTGAGCATTCTCAGTGAAACAATTGCCACGAAGGGTGGCATTGAGCATGCCCACCATACACCCCCGACAAATGGCATGTCGATTGCAGGCCAAAATGAAAGAAGAACGGTCACCACAAAAGAGCATGCATTCAGTATAGCGCCCATGGCCGCAAAATGGACATATAGTGTCCGGATGCGGAGGGTGCCTGCAGTCAGGAACGGTGGGACAGTCCTCTGCACACATGGATGCAGAAACCATGTCATTGTAGTGATTGTGACAGAGACGATGGCGGCTACAGCCGATATATGTATATATGTATTTCCACTGGCAGTGTGGCATATGTGRTAAGTCATAGGTGGCTTCTGATTTTCTTATTCACGACTATCTAATCTGCAGGTAGGTCCCAGTTCTTGAAGTGGATGATGCCCTTATTTATTTCCGCAAATCTGTTCTTGCCGAGCCAGTTTTTTTYGAAGTTTCTCTGGCTCGTTTCTCTCTTTTCTGGTTGTAGGATTTTCTGTTGCATTTTTTGTTCTCTATTCCATTGTGCTCTTATTTCTGTYTGAATTATGGTTTTGGTTTCCGTCCATTTTTCGTCTATGCTGATATTTTGACTGGACAAAGTGCTCTTGCACCTCGCTTTCCAGATTACCCAAGGGTCGCCCTCCTCAGAAGGTCTGCTAGGATAAGTTCTTCCTCTTCCAAGTTCCCTTCATCTATTCTTCCTGACAGCAAATAGATCTTGTTTAGAGGGAAGGCATGATCCGTTAGTTTGGTCCACAGAGATTTTGTTCTATCCCAGAGTTCTTGGGCTCTTGGACAGTACAGTAGGCAATGTATCAGCGATTCTTCGACGTTCTCGCTGCACGTTTTGCACTCTAAAAGCTGTTGCTGGTGTTCGACTTGTTTCCTTCTTTTGCCTAACCACTGGTTTACTGGTAGTGCCCAATAGACTATTAGCCATTGTAGACTTCTGATCCTTGCCGGTTTTATGCTGGCGTACTGTATCCATGGGATTTTGCCCACCCATCCTGCGTTTTCCCCAACATTTTTCTTCCATCTCTCTGTAATAATCTGTTGAGGGTCTTCTGTTTGATTTCTTAACCTGTACCCTGCTTTGACTTCGTAGTCATAGATCATTGTGAGCTTTCTGGTGGTGCTTTCTCCTCCAGGAATGAGCCAACCCCATTCTGCCGGATCCACTTCTAAATCTTTTATGTCTTGGTCAGGCCTGTAGATCCAGGTTTTCTTCTGGCTTTGATCGTTTCAAGGAAGTCCTTTTGCGGCTGATTCTAGGTGAGCATGTTCTGACCCTGTTAAGGTATTTGAATTGGATTATTGTCCTTTGTTCAATTATTTTATCGGGTTTTGCCCAGGTGTTGTGCGCGTCTATTAGTTCAAAGGATTCAAATTCTTCCCTGTCTTCTTCTGTGTCTAGCAACTTGATTAGTTTGTACCCTTCGGTCGGGGGAGTTGGTCCCTTTTTTGTGGCCCAGTCTGCTACTGACCATTTTGTCTTGGTTCTTAGTAATAATTCCCATTTCAGGGCGACACTTTCCAATAGTCTTTCAAGTTGTTCCTTCAGGTTGTGTACCCCTTTCAATTTGGCTCTAAGTTCTTGGGCTGTCTTCCATCTATTTTCTTCCAGGTTCCATAAGTGATCGATTTTCCAAACTCCATTGCCAATCCATTTTTGCCACTTCTTGCCTTTGGAGTTAGGGGCCAAGGCTTTTGGTTTTTGTCATTTAGCCATGGGTTTCCGAATAGGGGTTGTCTCAACACTTCTTCCCTGGTCTGTGGGGTTCTGATTTTTTGGGGAAAGCATGCTCTCCAATGGGAAATCAAAGTGGACCAGTGGTCGCTGGGCGGGTCTTTTCCATCTGTCAGCCTGCTGTTTTCTTTACGTCTAGGGTACCATGCTGGGTTAAGGATCCATTGGTAACCTTCTATGGAAGGGTCCACTTTGAATGGTACTAGGTTGCGGATTTGGTAAAGGGCCATGTTGTGCCATGGTAGTTCTCTGTTAAATAGCAGCTTGATTACCCATTTTAGTTGCAGTGCTTGGGATTGGGCGGCTGGATTTATCAGACCGAGCCCTCCTAGTGTCTTTGGCCTAGTAATAAATTTGTGAAATTTAACATTTTACTATTTTAGCACTTGTTCTGTTTTGTTCTAACTTCTAATGCCCGCAGTATGACATGAAGGATCGCAGCATGTTCCTGGCCATTCAGATATGGTGTGATTGCCAGGATTACTTGCACCCTGATATATCGTAGTGCACGATGATGGTGGAGCTTGCCCTAGGTGACCGCATGAGGTGTGTGCAGTGTCTGACATGGCGCAGTGTATGTATTTGCTCCACAGTGGCTGCTCGGCGCAGCAGGAAAAAGGGATTTAGGAGGCCTGTAGACCTGGCCCCAGAGTATGTCGTTGGGGGGGAAAGAATACCAGCCATATTACAGAAAAAAACTGCACAAGGTGATCATGGATGGGAGAGCGCCTAACATCCATTGTAGTTTGTATCTCTGCACCCGCAAAACATGGATTGTGGAGAATTTAGACAAACCGGGGGTTGGTAAATGACATTTTGGGGGAGGAGTCGGAGGACCTATCGGTCTCATTAATTTGCTCTGTGTGCAGTACTATGCAGACATTTCCACAAAAATTATGTGTTTGCCACTGCGTGGTCAGGCATGCACAAAATCCTTGAGATGAGACCACTTGTACTGAATATAGTTTCCTGTCTCTTAAG